AAAAAAAAAAAAAAAAAAAAAAAAAAAGTTGCAGTTCATGTTATTCATTGAATGAAACGTTCCCCTCATTTACAGCACCTAATTAAAATATGTAGCTGAAGAACATAATTACTCAAGGTGGTTCAATCTGTTCCCATGAGAGTGTTGGACTGTGATAGAGCTTACAATTAGATTAATGAGACACAAACAATATGTGTAAATAAAACAATATATACATATCTATTTAATATATTTATATACATATATATATATATATATATATATATATATAAATATATATATATACATATATATAAATATATATGTATATATATTTTGAGAGAGAGAGGGAGGGGCGAAGCTAAGGGCCAGGGTGGTCAGGTGTCCCTGGGCGCCAGACTAGTTACGGGCGCTAAGATGTGCTTTGATTTTATTATATAAATGAAAATAATTGGGTTTGAGAGTTTAAAAAAAAAAGAAAGGGAGGCTCTTTAAAATGAATCTTCCCCCCCCCCCCCCCCGGGGCGCCAAGCTCTCTAGCTACGCATCTGCATATATATACACATGTATCCTAAATAAAAAATGAAACAAGAATAAGAAGGGTTGCAATTCGACGGCAAAACACCAAGCTCAGAAGAACGACCAGGGAGTGGGTGGGAGTAAAATTTAAAAAAAAAACGAGTGGGAAAAGAAAAGGCGCAGCTACTGCTCCCATTAGGCGTGAAAGATTTCACCATGAATCTGTCTTGTGCACCTTGTCAGTTTCGTTCCCAGGCTGCTTCGTGGTCTTCTTCGTGTACCTGGGCTACGACCAGGTGATGGCCGTGCTGTTGGTGGACATCATAGAGGAGCTGGACACGTCTGTTTCCGTGGTGTCCATCATCTTCGCCTTAGGAAGTCTGTTCTACTGCCTGGCAAGTAAGTACACACCAGGTCGGGGGGAGGGGGGAGTTCAGGGGGGGAAGGGGTGAGGGAATCGTGAGACAACCATAATGATAAAGGTTGAGACTCTCTACTTTAGTTTTCAATTAAACGGGAAAGTAGACCATCGAAAACATATTATCTTGAGATGTAACATATTTTGAGATGTAACTTATCTTAAAATGCAACCTATCTTGAGATGCAACCTACTTTGAGATGTTTAACTTTAGATGTAATATCTTTAAATGTGACCTACCTTGAGATATAACGTAGCTTAAGATGTAACCTATCTTGAGGTGTAACCTATCTTCAAATGTTACCTTTTTTGAAAAGTAACCAATCTTGAGATATAACTCCTCTTTAGCTGTAATTATCTTGATATACAATCAACCTTAAATTTCAACATAGCTTGAGAAGTAATCCAGTTTTAGATGTAACATACCATTATGTATGACATAGCTTCAAATTTAACATATCTTAATTGTAATGATAACTAAATGTAAACAATTCAGTTTTAAAAAAAAAACTTGTTTCTATTTCTTGTTGTTTCTTCTTTTGTTTCGTCTGCAGAAGGAGGCTTTTAGCTGATACATTCTTTTTTTTTCATTGTCCCGTCTTTCTATTTCAACCTTCCACATATACCTAGATACACTATTTCCTATATAAAAACCCCAACAACTATTTTTTAAGTAATGTGTAATCTCTTTACAAAATGAGGTACATTGAGGCCAGGTGGGTTGGAGGGTAGGTAGATGGGATGGTGGGTGGGTGGGTAGGTGAGTGGGTGGTTGGGTTGGTAGGTGGTTGGGTTGGTAGGTGGTTGGGTGGGTCAGTGGGTAGGTGGGTCAGTGGGTGGGTAGGTGGTTGGTTGGGTCAGTGGGTGGGTAGGTGGTTGGGTGTTTAGGTGGGTTAGTGGGTGGGTAGGTGGTTGGGTGGGTAGGTAAGTCAGTGGGTGGGTAGGTGGTTGGTTGGGTAGGTGGATGGGTAGGTGGGTGGGTAGGTGGGTGGGTGGGTAGGTGAATGGGTGTTTAGGTAGGTCAGTGGGTGGGTAGGTGGTTGGGTGGGTTAGTGGGTGGGTAGGTGGGTGGACATCAAACACCGCGACGCTTCTTCCGTTGATTTCTTATTTAAAAGATATATAACAACAATTTGAGAACCATTGATTATGTAAACAACGTATCAAAATAATAATGACTGCAATCAAGACGGTTGTCAATTTTAAATTACTTAACCCTTGTCGGGCCAGAGGTCGCCACGTTATCTCCGTGAGAAGTGTTACGAAAACAAAAGTAACTGCTGAAAAGATAAGACGAACAAAATTGCCTCGTCATCATCAGTAAATTTACTTCTTCTGAAACAAACATACGCACTATTAGATTGTTGATTTTTTTAAAGAAGTATTTTTGTATTCTTCCCATACCAAATTTAACGAAATAAAATGTACATTCCTTTGATGGGCGAGACATTCACTTACTTTGAAAGCAATGAACAGCCCTAATTAACACTAAGCTGTATTTTATTTATTTTCAGCTCCAATGCCTGTCTCATGATCAGGAGAAATGAGAATTTTCGTGTGTCTCTCATAGCAATTTAGTGGGGGGTGGGGGGTGGGGGTGGGTCAAATTCGTAAAAATAACTTTATATAAAAATACGCTTTTATCATTTTGAAGTAAGGTATCTTCCAGTAAACAAACAAGTGTACATACAATTCTTCGTTTGAAGTCTCTCCGACACCCCCACCCCATCCTCACACACACACACACCTACAAATTTTATTTAAGTCTCAAACCTGCTTTTAATATTTTGATTTCCATCTTCATAGTATAACAATGATTGTCATGTAATCATTAACTTCTTTCTACAAATTTCATCAGGCCCATGTGGTTGGTATTATTTTTTGTTTGTTGATGATAATATTATCACTACGATGATGGGAAAGGTTTCTTTAATGTATGTTTTAGACTAAAAAATAATGTAAATTATAAAATTTCTGATTTTTTAATAAACTACACGACCCACAGTAATATTATTTAACATAAGCAGGTGTGTTGTCCATACTTGGAGTCAAGGCTGGTAGTCCAGTTGCGGTCGTTAAAAATTCTTTTTAAATTACAAATATTATGATGTATGTGTGTCGCAGCTCAACTTTCCATCAACTTCCTGCTCAAGTACGTGTCCAATAGAATGCTCGAGACCGTCGCTGCCGTGGTCAATGCCATGGCGACCCTCATGTTTGTGCTGGTGCCAGACATCAAGGTTCTGTTCATTTCCTGCTTCATTAAATGTAAGAGTTAAGTGCAAAGTTGTCAACTTTTAGTGGGTACTGACTTAAATGGAATTGTCATTGGCTTTACACGTTTTTCTATATTATATAATATTATATGTACCTACCTGCCTACCTACCTACTGACCTACCTAAGTACCTACCTACCTACCTAACTTCCTACCTGCCTGCCTCTATGCACGCATGTCTGTCTGTCTGATTATCTCTCTCTCTCTCCCTCTCTCTCTCTCTATTTTTCCCACTCTTCGGTCACATCCTCTCTTTATAAATTTAAATCTTGTAACTAAATATATATTAATCTTATTCAGCTTTAGCCAAAGGTGTCACTCTGATAGCGACACTGACTTTGGTCGGCTACTACTTCCGTCGCAGGAGAGCCCTCGCCACTTCCCTGGGGTTAATTGGCTGCAGTGCTGGTGTTGTCGCGGTTCCGCCCCTGGTTCGCTACCTCAGAGAGGAGTACGGCTTCCGTGGCTGCTTCGCCCTCGTAGCTGGATTCGAGGTACTAACATGCACATAGAAGTGAAGTTCTAAAACACATTTACTTATATTATCACTTGAATAACGCTAGAAATTTCAGTTCAATATTTCCTATCTAGACAGTAAGTAGGTAAATCTCATCGGGTCGTCAATGTAAAGGTAATAATTAACTTTATAGGTTAAATTTAGTTCAGAGACACTTGGTGAGTCATATGCCTTGTTTGCTAATAATTTCTCCTGAATGTGATTAATCAAATTTTAATCAAATTGTAATAAAGTGTTTTCTGGGCGTTTTCTTTAATACCGGCATCTATTGTTAATGAATGCACTCAAAATGCATTTAAATCATTTCTCAAGCATATCTGAGAAAAAAATATTTCCCATTTACACATGAAGACATGTCACTGGTCGCTCGTCCAATTATTTTATACACATTAATTAACATTAAAACATACTTTGAAACCTAATTGTTATTTTTTCCCATCTCACATAAGCTCCACGCCATTATTGCGACGGTCCTCCAACGACCCATCAGCAGCTACACCAAACGAAAGAGACAAGGACGTGAGAAAGGTGCCCCAGAAAGCGGGCCATTGCTGGCTTCTGCTCCATCTGACCAAACACGTTTTCATCCTCAGCTGGGTAGTGTTAGTCGTGGTGGGTTAGAACTAAACAGTACCGCTGAAACCAACTCAAATCCTGGGATTATCCGTTCCTGCAAAAGTTCAGAGGCGGAGACAAATTTTCATTCAAATCAAAGAGAGGTATTGTCAAAATACGTGGACTTTGGAAATGACAAGAAAGACCATTTGACTAGTCTTCAACGGGAATCATGTAATTATGAAGACAGACTTCTTCCAGCAGAAGAAGTGTCTAGTTTAGAGAGTAATTCTGTCATTGCAGTGAAATTCCACAATCACATCACGGACTATGATTTTGTCTTGAAAAGCGACTCGACCTCACACTTAAATCTCAAGACAAGGTCTTTGCAGTCGGAATCCGAAGAGTTTCTTTCGGAGTCTGAATCAAACAGAGCTCCCAGAGTAGACGCTATCCTGCCAGTGTCGGAAAAGTCGGTGAACTCTTTTAGAAATAGCCCCACAACAGAACAGTCAATGCCTAGTGAGCGAACTGTGTCGACCCTGATTAGTAGAGATTCGCGATCGTCTCTGACTCAACATTCAAACGATGGGAGCCTCGACCAACCGAACAATGCGAATTTGGGTACAAATCTCATTGTCGAACACACACCGAACAGTCATTCGCCAAAAGTCAGCCAATTAAATTTAAATTATAAAGAACTAACAGATAAGTTGTCACAGTTCAATGAATCGAATCAATCCCGCGTAACATCGATCGTCACATCATCAGGTGTCAGAGTCCAAATATTCAAAGACAGTCATTCTCATACGCATTACAACGGTAACATCAACACGGAATGTTCAGGTAAATTGAATTTGATAAGTGAGAAAGCCTTAACGCAAGCGAATGTTATATTGACAACACCGTTTAATTCTTTAGCTTCCGTTTCAGAATGTAACCAATGTGTTCTTCCTACTTCTTCTATAACAAAAACTGAATTTCAAAACGTCAAACAATTACAAACTCCAAATCAAGGAGACAAAGACAAGAGCAACACGAAATGGTCATGGATAAAGCTACTGATTGACGTCGACCTCTTGAAGAATATCCTCGGCGTATCGGTCATCTGCAACTACTGCATGGTCAACGCCGGCATACTCAACGTCATCTACCTGTCCAGCTACGCCATCAAGGTGGGCGTGTCGCCCCCGGACGCCGCCCTGCTGATCACCATCAGCGGCCTCATGGACATGGTGGGGAAGATCTGCTCGGGGGTCTTCGCGGACTTGCGAATCGTGCGCCCCAACGTCCTCATGGCCGTGTCGACGTTCTGCCTCGGGGTCGTCACGCACTGCATCTCACTGTTTCGATCGTTCGAGCACCTGGTGATTTACTCCGTGCTGCAAGGCTTCCTGGCCAGCATCGGGCCGAACTTGAACACGGTGGCCATCGTTGACGCCATGGGGATACAGAACCTGGGCAAGATGCTGGCGATGTGCAGCTTGTTTCTCAGTATTTTCATTGCAGCGCAGCATCCCATACAAGGTTAGTGTTGAATCGAAAAGAGAAGATAAGATGAGATGAAAAAATATTAGATAAGAATAGGGAACAGAAGATTCTTTATTGGTAAAAAAAAAAAAGGGAAAAGTTTTTTTCTAATACATTGTACGGATTCATTTTCTGCCCATAAATAAATACATATTTTAACCAAGACAACATTTTACACTTAGAACAATTTAAACACAAAACCCCTAAATTATTTCTCTAGCGTAGAAATCAGCCATCACATAACTCCTTAAGTGACAATAATGACATAAAAGTATGATCATTTAGATTTGGTAACCGCTGGGGGAGCAAGCTGGTATGTTCGTACAGACTGTGGAAAAAATGAATTTTGATATCTTTCATGTCCTAACTTTAAGAAAATCAACTCTCCCTGACTGAGGTGTTTGTGCTGAAAAAAAAAAGAGTAAAGGGTGGGATAAGTCATCCAAAATTGGTTTAGTTTTACGACAGCATTGTTCCTCAAATAGTTTCTCAAGTGAAAGGCTCTTATTTTTCGTGATGTTACTAGCTGTCTTGATTATTCTTTTTAATCAGTGTTTGATGTCAGACGATGAATTCCCACACCAGCAGGTCATATTGAAGTGCAGCTGGCCGCCATGTGTTGCCCTGTAGAGTAAATTAATAACGTGCTCCTTTATCCCGAAATTAAACGTTTACGACCAACTCCAGCAGATCATGGGCACATTTTTTTTAACAAACGATTTGGAAGAGGAATAATGTTTTTAATGTATGTTTCTCGGACGCGATTGCAAAGTTCAAGTATTAAAAAAATTATCAGGCTTTATGCCATTACTCAATGGTCAAATGAATATAAAGGGAAACTATTTATATACCACTGGATTCTAGAGCGTCTGTAAAGGTTGTAAAGTGCAAATAGTTGATAGCCGTGTTCTGTTGCTATTTACACCAGCGCTGAAGTAAACTAAAAGGGTGTTGTTTGTTGTTTTTTTAAACTGTTATGTGCACACACTTAACTTTCATCCCACTTAATAATTTTCTATAAAGGCAAATTCCGAAATGATAAAACATTTCCATCACATCTCTCTCAATGCTTTCTCTGTCAAAAAATGGTGGAGTCTCAATTTATGAATTGTGGAAAGAATAAAAATCAATAACTAAAAAAAATCTGTTGTCGACATTCCTTATCCAGTTATGAGCAAAGATTCGTGGAAATTTGGGTTAAGTAGAAATTGGACTGAGTAGAAACCCGGAAGCACCTTTAATTATTTATGTCATTGTCTTTCGTTAGCGTCATCTCTGTTCGTATTTCTGTTGTTTGTTTGTTTGTTTGTTTTGTTTTTTTTTGGTCTTTTTTGTTGGCTGTATATATAAACATTAAAAAATAAACTTAAAATTATACGTGAGCCTATGTATCCAATCAGATTACTAAATTCAGACAAAAACCATTATACCAGCCAACCATAAATGTGTAAATAATCAAATGTTTTGATTTCTCTCCGTCATTCAGGTGCGCTCATTGAGTACACGGACAACTTTGTGGCCACCTTCCATTACGTGGGAACCATTTACTTCGTGTCGTCACTGTTGCTTCTCTCTCAGCCTTTGATCAGGAGGCTGCAAGCGGCCCGGGAGAGAAAGAATGAAGCGATAAGCTAGACGACTGGACTATATTGACTCAGATGGACGGCGGTGCTTGACGTCCACAGTTTAAAATAAAAATCATTTGCATATCTTTTTAGAAATGTTTGATTATTATTTTTTTTTTTTTTGGTACTATTGAGCAAAAGGAGTAAAAGTAAAACACACACACAAAGTTTGGCATCCGTCCTATGCAATGTGACTATGGCGTAGACTTCACAGGACGAAATCACAAGGTCTTGGATTATTTTTTTTTTAAAGGATTATTAGCTGGTTCCCTGGACAACAAATCGCTTCACTTCACGCACCTCGAGCACGTCATCTGGATGTCACAGCTTGGGACCAGTACATCTAGCAGGAGTGGTCGGAACTTTTTATTTTGGTCATTCGTCTACGGGACTCCATCTCCGGTTTTTGAATGCAGAGTTTTCCTTCTCGGAGATGAGTTTCCATCTCAAGTCAACGAGCCCAAAAGCAGCCGGGCTACTGGTGATGTTTTAAATAAAATGAGTAAAACAGAGTAGGGTTAAACCTGAAAAAATAAACGCAACAAAACAGCGAACGTGTCGGCAGAAAGCCTTCTTCATCGAACAAAACAACAGAAAAAACAGTATAAAAATAAAAATAAGAAATAGCACTTAGCTGGTAAGTAGTATCTGTGGGCAGCAATAGAAGTGTGTCACTACCTGACTAACCTGATTGCAGTCTCTTTTCTCATTACCCCTGGTGATGTTTCAGCTGGACACATCTCATCTCAAGAATAACGGACCTAACATGTTGACAACAAAGGGACGCCACTGCAACAATACAACGACAACGACATTGCACGTTTGCGTTTCCTTATTAATCCCTTAGGGGGGAACTGTAACGGACAATGTTTTTACATGGAAACAGAGAGGTAGCATGAGTGAACAGTGAATAGTGTTGTTCATTTTTTTTCCACGGGGAGAGACAATCAATGGATTGTATTTTGAGATGCAAATGTGAACTCCACGTTTTTGGAGAGTAAAATTATGTTTTTGTCAGAGCGGTTGTTTTCCACGATTTGCTGATAATAAAGTATGAGTTGACTGAGATAGTGAGAGCTGAGCGCAGAGCAGTAGAGAACAGTAGCGTGAGAGCTGTGTGATGAGACAGTTGAGCTGAGTTATAGTAGTGTGAGGACGTGTTTTTCTTAATGATGGAATACTATAGATATATATGTGAAATTACATTCATGCAAGGATTATTTATTAATATTATCAATATAAAGTGTGTTCAATAAAGTACTGTAAGTTTAACCAGGATTCAGTATTCTTATTTGCGTGCCCGGATGATAATTGGAAGAATGAAGAAGTCTTAGTCGGCATCCTGAAATATCAACATGACATAAGTAACCATACTACTGACATAACCCACAGCATAAGAAATAAGCTCCCACGCTATGTCAGAGTAGATTTGTTACAGGAACATTCTTCGATTTCCTGAGTCACTTCCGTCCTTGATTACCTCCACGGTTTCATGTCAACTTAATATTACTACAAAATTAGTTTATTTGTCTTTGTATTTTTTGCTGTCGAAGGCTTTTTTTTGCCAATGCGTTATAGTTTTTTTGTATTGTCCTTCTTGTTGCAAATATTATTATTATTAATATTAGTCCAGTGGTCTTATTAAGCAAATACGCACATTTTTTTTATTATTATTGTAGTTAAAAAAATGGATTGATATGGTAATGAAAACAATACATTTTTTTTTCTTTAAATTTACATATCCTACTATTTATAATTCTAATATCTTAATAACCTGTGTGTGGATTTTTTACATTGAACACATCGTATTTTATGTCTGGTGTGTTTACTTTGGTCTTTTTCTATGACTAATTGGCATAAATGGCGGTTGGGGTGACCATGTTGGCTTACAATTGAAGTTTCCTTAATTTTGTATCACTAATGTTCAAGAAATATATTTTTAATACAATATAATCAATATTTTTCCAAATTATTTTTGAAACAATCTCAACTTTTTATTTATGCATTTCAATAATTATTTCTTCTGAGATTATAAAGATTTACAATGAACTAGATTTCTTCTTCTTCTTCTTCAATCTCTGCAGACAGATGGAGAGTTTCATCTATTTCATTTTGAATACTAAGCCTTTTCTTAAATCTTTTGAGAACAGACCCATCTCTAACACCTCTTATTAAAGTTTCCTCTGGCATCCAGTTAGTACAAGTCATGCTACACCTATTTATATGCCGATTTGCAAGGAGTCTATCTCCCACTGAGACAGTTTTTAAAGAATGTGTTATTTTTGTTTGCAATTAATCTGTAAAAAGATTATTTCAACACATGCGGAGGAATGTGGTAGATCTAAAACTGTCATGTGCTTCATGAAATAAGATCATATTGTAGACCATTTCTCTACTTTAGACCGTCGCTATTGGTTCATCTGCTGTGGGTTTTTTTTTTAAATTTGAATAAACTGACTTTTGCTATGTGTTGATTTTCCAATTTCCAAATAATTTTATGTTTCACCGCATGTTTATGTTTCATTAATGAGGACGTGCTTGAATTTTTCATTGTGAATTTGCAACCATTCATTTGCAAAAGCTAGAAACTGCGTTGTCCTGGTCCTGCTGTAGTCAGTTCTGGAATTCAAAAATCTTTAAGACATTCCGAGTTAAAACATTGATTATACCATTTAACTTAATTCTTTTATTTTTCCAGTTTTGGGGAATCCATACCTGGTCGTTCACTCTTTGGCTTGTACTGTTTTTTCGTATGGTTGCTAATAATGGCTAATGATAAAGTTTCCAAATCTACCGCCCCCACCCCCTCAAACTTTATAATATTAGTAGTCTATATTGATTTCCCTTGAGATTTTAAGATTTATAATCAGTTTATTTATTGTTCAGACTGTCCTATGCACATAGTGTACACGGTCAATGGGAGTCGCTTAGTCGATTGATTTGTCACGTGATGTGAGTAAAAACAAGTAAGACTTCCGGTAGGCTGTATACAACACTAGTGCTTGACAACAGTAGCCCGATACACACTACAACTACACTACATTTCGTCCAATGAAAATTAACAATAAAATAAACAAAGGGGAATGACTCCTGCATCAATATTGAATAAAAACGCAAATGACGTCATTAGCACGCACGGAGCTCAACATCATCCTGCCGATAATAGTATTGATAGTTCCCATCGAATATCGCTCACAAATTTTTCTTGAAATAACTTTCTTCCTTTAATCATAACTGACGTATATTTATTGTCACATTTATGGATTTCATTTAAAAAACGCATGTATTCC